TGAATTAAGAATGATCCCATTTATCAGAAAAAAAAACCTACTTGATTTAAGTTCCAGCAACTCCCAATGTTTACTAATTAAACCAAGAATAGGATTCAAATTTACCTTGGAGTATCTAAGAGGTGGTAATTAGCAGAACCTTGAAAATAAAAATAGGCTTTCCATCGCCTGAGGTCACCCTGTCCCCCGCTTTCTGAGAGCCAGCATTCTGTAGCACCACCTACACCACCCCCGCCCCAGCTCAGGATTACCCAGAATTCCTAGGTTTGCACAGCTCATCTGGCACCTTCCGGTGAGGGCTCGGCCTGCAGCGTTTTCACCGGAAGCACTGCCGTTGTGTAGAGCCCAGCCCAGGCCGCGGTGCACCCTACTGCTGACGCCACCCCCCTGTGTCTGAGAGACTTGGAGATTTGGGGTACAAGAGAGGTAATGGAACCCAGAATGTTAGCACAGAAAGCTTCAGGGCCCAGAACATGGATTTGCCATTCTTGCTTACTAACAGGTTCTCCATATTCTCAGCCTCTTTGTCTGACTTCTTCCTGATGTTCAGTTTCTTCTAAGAGGTCTGGCGGCTGGCCCAGGTCCTGCAGTCAAAACTCTTCACCGAACAGTTCCATGTTCTTAGCCTCACCCTCATGCACCTATGGCCCCTTTCTCAAGCTACATACTCCGTGCCTTTTGAGTGATGTAGTCATTTACCAAGAGGATGAATTGCTTTACCCTGCTAGAGAGCAGAGCACCCTATTTTAGTTGCTGTATTTTCTCTTAGCATTTGAGAGCTCCCTCATGCTGATCCTTTCTTATCAGCCTGCATTCATACAACTTTATGGTCATGAGATAAGATAATACACAACCTCTTTAGTGTTCACAAGGCTGAAATTTTGGAACCTGCTAATTATGCTTTAGTCCTGCCAGCAAGCAAGCACTTACGAACGTCCGCTTGCTCTGGTTGGTTCCCGTAGAGAAGCACTGAACATTTTGTTAGATTTTATCCGGTTTTGTTTTGTTTTGTTTTTTGTTTATGGTAGGTCCACGTAAGCTAATCCATATGAAACATGAATCTTTTCCACTGCAATAAAGTTATTTGAAAATGTCTAGATTTGATAGCTATTTAATTACTTTTGCAATTTTTTTTTACATAGTTTTGTGTGAGAATAGAAAAGAATCCTGGCCTTGGATTTAGTATCAGTGGTGGAATTAGTGGACAAGGAAATCCGTTCAAACCTTCTGACAAGGTAAGAAATGAGTTTTTTGTTAATAATTTTAAGTTTTAAAAGAGAGTGTCCTTGTGGAGATATGAAAGGTTAAAAAAACTCCATATCGCAATAAATAAATAAGAGGAAATAATTTTCTGTTTGTACAGTACTTGAATGAACTAGTTAACTATGAAGCCAATTAAAAACTTTGTCAGTGTGGGGAAGAAAAATCTACTAAGGTGCCTGACAGGTACTAAGAAGAAACAATACAAGCATTCTTTTTGAAAGGAAAGGGAATGTTCTGGCATTTTTTAGTGGTCTGTTTCTTTCTTTTATGCTTGAATATGTTGTTAATAAAAGCAATTGCTACCCAGTTGTTTTCAAAGGCTTACCTGTAAATCATTTATTTATGATTTAGAGAACTTTCTTCACAGTTACAAATAATTACTTAGTGATGAAATGCCAGCCTGACACCGGATTGTCAGCTTATTAGGCTGGGAAGGAATTTCAGCGATAGGCCTGCCGAGCTGTGAAAGCTGCGAAGGCTTTTGTGGAAAGCTGGAGGTAGCAGCAGCAGAAGAGCCGGGCATTCCTCCCACACTGGCCCGGGCTTGTCACACAGGACGAGGGTGCGTCCAGCTCTCACCTCAGCCGCTGCCTGCACGGCCACCACGTGGCTCTGCTCAGGGCAGCCTGTGGGGGTCCCAGTGGGAAGCATCTACTTTTAAAAACAAAATAAAAATTGTACCCTGATCTATATAACCTGTCCTGCTACCAACACGGTTTGTCTTGGATTTAAATCTATTAGAAATTATAATATAATGATTTAAATGATCTACTTTTTAACCTCATCAAATTTAACTGACAGATTAAATGACATCCTAAAACTTGGAGATGATTAAGGAAACTGGAAGTTCTATCTGAATGAAACCTACATGGAGTTCATCTTAGCTTTGAGTCACAATGTGGTCCAAACTCTTTTAACTCATCACTCTCCTTAAAGTTACCTACAGATCCAATTTTAATTATGAAACCTCATTCTGGAAAAATAAACATGGAGATTTCTAAAGCTAGAAATAAACATACGAATCCAAAGTTTCCCTAAACTTCCCTCCATTCATTTCGAATACTTTTCCTGCTCTTGTTCCTCTCCTTGTCAAGGACAGAAGAGGTTGGGCCAAAAGGAGGACTGTTACATACATTGTTCACACTATCAGAAGCATTAGAAAAGAGAAGATTGGAGAAGAATCTCCAGGGACCGTGGGTGGCCATTGTTTAGAAACAGAGACGGGGGCATGGGGCAGCCCTACATTCTGACTGTGTACCTAGGAGGAGGCCACTTAGGAACAGCTGTAGCTTCTGAGCCTCCATTTTTGAACTGATGTTTAGGATAACCATTGATAGGGCAGCATTAAAATGTTCAGTGTGGGATTTGAACCCAGGACCTTCCCACTGAACTATATCCTCAACCCTTTATATTCTTAGTCCATTTTTGAGACAGATCTCACTAAATTCTTAAGTTGCTGTCTTCATTGCTCTTCCCTAGTCGCTGGCACAAAATACCCAACACCCAGAATTAAGGAAGGAAAGGTTTATTTAGCTCGCAGTTAGTGGAGGTTTCAGTCCATGCTCAGCTGGCTCCAAGGCAGAGTGGCGCAAGGAAGAGGGCAGCCATTCATGGTGGCAGAAGACAGCAAAGAGCTGCAGCTACTGGCCTGCCTCTCTCCCCTCCTTATGTTGTAATGCACATTATCTGCCCCGGAGTGAGTGTAGCACTTATACCAGTAATCCCAGCATGAATTAATCACAAACTCTAGAAGCTGCCCCATGATGGCATGAGGCTTTGGGGGGACACCTAGACACAAATTATAACAGTTGCTCTTGCGGGGGCTCAAATTTGTCATCTTCCTACCTCAGCCACACTGGGAGAACCGGTGTGCACCACCGTGCCTGGCCAGTGATATTTTTTTAAAACCTCCAATCATTTTTGCTTTATTCATCTTGATCCCTCTTTTTTCTGTCTGGTTTTATATACCCTCCATAAATTTTCAGTGAAAAGCTAATAAACTGATCATTCTTAAGGTACTTGAAATTCAGAATGTATATTTTTTTCTTCCTTTTTTCATTGGCATATAAATCTTTTCACTGTGTTTTTGGAAGATACAGGATAATATTTTTATACATTGCTAAATAGTCAAGAGGTCAGGATATTGCTGCATTTATGTTTTTTAACTTTTATTAGTGCATGTCTGCAATTCCCAATCACATTCATAGTGGGGAGTTGGCACACACACACACACACACACACACACACACATAACACATCTTAATTCCATTGTCCCAGTTCTCTTCCCTTTCCTCCATCATTTCTTGGTCCTTATCCCCTGTGCAAAGATCTGTCTCCCTGTTTCCTGTGAGCTATGTTTTCTTTATTTTTCTCTTTAAATCATTATACTTCAGGTTTCTTATGTAAGAGAAAACCTGTGATATTTAAGGTTGCGTGTCTCCTGCAGAGAACTAAATCTGAGACATTCAAGTCATTGCCTGTAATTCTTCCATTGTAATGAAGATGAACAATTTCTAACTATTACTTTAATTTCTCATTTGTAACATTTGGATGAGTCTAGTGAAACTGAACTATGTCTGATCTTATAATTTGCTCTTTTGGTTAAATGCAGCAGGCATCGAGCTTGAATTGAATAATATGTCCATTGAAAATTTCCCCTCAAAAGCACTTTTCTTCAGCTGATTACACTCTAAAGCACTTCACAATGCTAAAAGTGAATCTCTATTATTGTAAAATTGATGAGGGTCACCAGAACTTCCACATCTACAAAAGAATCCCAGTACTGCTCAATTTAATGCCCATGTTTGTGGCATGCCAAGCATGTGGTAGACACTTGGGGATGGTATCCAGGGCACCTGAAGACCTCAGCCGGGCCAGTTTACTCCAGAATTTAATCAGCTCACAAAGAAAGGAATGAATCTCTTAGAAATCCCATTACATTTCTTTCATCCTGGGGCTGCATTCTTATACTTGTTACATAAACTATAGAGTGAGAACCAGCGCCTATACCCAAAACACCACACTGTAAGAAAATGAAAATTAGCTAAAATTCTCCTCTTCCCAGTATTAAAAACAGATTCTATTTTTCATGACTTGGCTAACTTACAGCTCAAGGTGTGCAGGACCAAATTAAACAGATGTTTAAATTCAATGGTTCCTACCTGAGTCTGAAATAAAGCTCCACAAAAAGCCAAGTCATGCAAAAGTTAAGCTACAGTGCAAACCATACCCTCTTCCACTTACCAAGCCCTGGATTAGCACGCTTCTCAGAAACACACTCGGTCATGGCACTTAACGATCTTCAGTGCTCGAATATTTTGCCACCCAAAACTTTAAGCATCCAAGCACATCCGGGGATCTTGGAGGCCCGGAGGGCTTCCTACATAAACTTTTTTGCTCTCTTCATTACCTGGGATGGAAACCTCTGCTTCGGCTGGATGCCAGGCTGTTGACAGCTAGACAGTGCATGCCTGAGGCTGGCATCTAAAAGGCTGAGTAGCGGTGCTGCAGAAAGGAGCCACATTGCTCGGCCTAGAAAAGGGCTAAGCTCTGGGACGGAGCACAATTAATGCAGAAAAGCACTGCGACTACCAAAAGCTAACTGTGGCTTCAGAGAAGAGTCAGGATTAAGCCCAAAATGACAATTTATATTACTCAAGGAATATTTGAAATAGCATCTGGCAGCAAATTTAATTCCTCTCCAGAGCCCAAGAGTCCTCAGCCTTGGGTGAAAAGAACACAGGACAATGAGCCCGAGAGGTAACACCGTCAGCACCACGTGCAGTGGTTGCGACAACCAACTCCCTCCGCATGGAGCTCCTATTCTGAAGCTCATCACCAAATGTGAACTGCTTGTACCTACTTGGAAAGAGAAGCAGCACAATGCTGTCTAGAAATGGCCCTGTCTGGTGTTTGCCTCGGCCCTCTCAGCATCGTGGATCAAAGCCAGGATCTCCTTTATCTCGGTAGAGAAACATCGCTGCCAGGGTAGCAAGACGCCACTGAGAAAGACTTTGCTCCAATAAATCTGATATTAAAGCAATAAAATAATAGCCTCTTCTATTATCTGCAGTATTCTGGTCACTGTGTTAGGTTCTTCAGATGCATAAACTTATGTCATCTTCACAGTAGCTTCTGTTAGTTGAGCAGTCTGATTATTCCCCAGAGGGGTTAATTAACTCGCCCAAGGTCATTTCGCTGATCTGTGGCAAACACAAGATTTGAAACCAAATTAATCTGACTCCAAATCCTTCTCTTTTAATAAGCACTATTGTACGTGCCTCTATCCACAAATGCCCCTTCGTGGAAGAGCCACATGACAAATTTATGCCCTGTAGAGTTGAGACGAATATGATCTTCTAATATTGAAAGTATTGCAGGCCCTCCAGTGAGTCCTAGTCTACATATTTACTTCTAAAAGCCCTTGGAAGTCAGCATGCGTCCTTTCTGAGCCAGGACAGTTAGAAGCACACTGCACAGAGTAGACTGCTAAGCAGTTGTATTACTTGTGGGCTCAGCTAGCATCGCAGGAGTGATTCTGCCAGCGGAATGGGCCGCAATACCTTTTGTACTTAACTGCTTATAATAATTATTGCTTCAAAATTCAAGGAACGTACCAATATCATTTGCTCGGGATTTTGTTTAAAAGAAAAGAACTCCAGGTTAATAGCTGGCTGACACCACGCAGTTGCAGTATTTCAGAAAGCAGCTCAAGATGCTGTGAGTGAAAGAAGTTTTGATGATGCGTTCAGAGCTCATCATTTGCAGGCTAATATCTTTCCTTGCACCATCTGAGGAAAGGAGGACCAAGTACCTAGATTTTAAAGGCAATAAAGAAGACTCATAGCCCTTTCCCCCGTATGCTGCAAGTGTGTTACCTCTCAAATTCCCATAAATAGCTATCTAGTCATAGGATCACTTTGAAAATTGTTATTATGGGTCCGTCCTACCCTCAAAGGACCTGAGAGTGGAA